CAGACACAGCCATTGACTTGACATTTGTCTCTCAGTCGTCGGTTTTAGATGTTAAATGGACTGTCCTGAATGACCATGGAAGTGATCACCTACCATGTTCAGTCTTGATTTCTAAACACACTAAGGTTAAGGTTGGGAGAACACGCAAGACCTTCCAGTATAAGTGGACCAACAACCTACTTGGACGCCTCAGACGGGGAGCTTGCAAAAGAACTGCCAGAACTAATTTTCTACAGCCCCCATGGTGGACTCCAGAAGTAGAACAGGCATGGAAGGCAAAGAGAGCCGCAGTGAAGCAGCTAAAGAAAGTACGTCAGACACCCTCAAGCTCACGAGAGGAAGGGAGATGGCGGAGAATGTGAAAAAAGATAAGGTGGAGGTTTTCAAGCGCTGTGCTGCAGAGGTCAAAAGAGCAAAGTGGGAAACTTTTGTGAATGACATGGGAGGCGATAAAACACTGGGGAAATTATGGAAACTGCAAAGTCAGATGCAAAGAAAAGATCGGCCTATGACAGTCGGAACAATTTGTAGAGACGATGGTGTGCGTGTGACAACAGACAAGGAGAAAGGGGAGGCTTTTCTCCATAGGTTTATAGCTCAGACAGATCATAATGATGTAGCTGGCACCTTGAAGAATATACATTATGAAGACATGATATAAGTGGAAGATATCAAACAAATTTTGAAAAAAGGAAAAGACAATGCACCAGGGACTGATGGTGTCAGGTATGGTCACATGAAGGCTTTGAGCGATGTAGACCTGGCAGAGATGGCCGACTGTTTTAACCAGAGTATCAAGACAGCACCAGTACCGCAAGACTGGGTGCACAGCTATCTAATCCCACTACCAAAACCTTTTAAAGATCATTCTAAGCTTAGTGGCTTTAGAATCATCACCTTACAAAACACATTTGGGAAGGTCTTGGAGAAGATAGTTGCTGTAAAGTTACAAAAATTTTTGGAAAGGGGGAAGCTTTTCCCAAGAGGTCTGGGAAGTTACAGGCCTGGAAAGGACACTTGGGCAAATGCGGCCACTTTTGCTTTTGACGTCTATGAAGGGTTCCAGAACAGACAGGAAATTATGGCGGTAGGACTGGATCTCGAGGATGCTTATAACAGAGTGAGATACGACATCTTAATGACTGCACTGAGGGAGAAGGAGGTCAATCCATGGCTGGTGAACTGGGTTGCAGCTGTCCTGTATTCGCGTCGGGTTGCTCTCCGACAGGGCTCATGGACCTCTGAACCATGCACTTTGGCCCCAGGACTGCCACAGGGATCCGCCATCTCGCCTTCAACGTGTATACGAGCAAGATTGCAAGCCTAGAAGCACCAGGAGTTGGAAGGATACTGACTTTTGCGGATGATATACTTGCATATAGGCAGGGGAAGAAAGGGAACAAAAAGCTCGGGAGCTACAAGCGACAGTAGACAAAGTGACTAAGTGGTGTACAGAAATGAGGACTGTCGTCCACCCGGAAAAGGCGTCTGTTTTGTGATGTTCTCTGGACAACAGAATCTTTAAAACTAATGTCCCAAGTCTCACGTTAGATGGTAGAGACGTCAACAGAGAGAGCAAATTGAAGAATCTAGGAATTACATTTGTAAGAAACCTGTCATTTAAGGACCATGTGGAGAGTGTTGTGACGAGATGCCAAAAAGGACTTAGTGCACTTAAGACTATGGCTGCAATTGACATAGAGCAGAGAATGCTTTTCACACTATATCAGCACCTGATCCTGTCAATGGTGGATTATGGCCTGGGACTGCTTACCGTCTCAAAGAGTCAGATGGACAAACTAGAGCGCATACAGAACGCGGCTATGCGGGTCATTCTGGGTTGTACCAGAGACACCCCAGGTGTGTATGCGATACATCCTTGGTTTGCCGACGGTTGCAGGTAGGCACAAGATGCTGCAGGCGAAGTCATATCTCAGGGTAGCTGCAGACACAGACCACCCTCTGCATGAAGCTCTGGGTGCAGTTAAGGGTCTGCGGCTGATAAGAGGGAGGTCATGAATGGCTCAGGCAGAAGACACAATCAAACAGGTTTGCATCCTTGAGAACATTAGGCGAGGAAAGGAGTGAGTCAAAGTGCCACCTGAGCAGTCAGACCTGTGTAGAGTCATAATCACGCTGAGCCGGGAATGCAGAGACTGGCCAGCAGGTGCCACAGAGGTGGAAATTCGGCAATTAATTCAAGATAATGCTCGCTCAGAGGATTTGATCATTTACACGGACGGTTCAGTATCAAGAGGCAAAAGAAGTGCTTGGGGCTTTTTAGCAAAAGTTAATGGTCGACATTTGGTGCAGGAGAGCCTAGCATTCCTAGCTTAAGAATGGAGGTGGAGGCGGTCACTGCAGCTTTCCGCTGGCTATAGAACACGACACACACACACACACACACACACACACACACACACACACACACACACACACACACACATTGTAATTGTAACTGATTCAGAAAGCATGCTGAGGAAGATCAGAACAGGTATGCTTTGTGCAGAGTGGCATGCTTCGCTGCGGAGGACACGAGTGAGGAGTATTGTCTGGATTTTTTCACCGGGTAACGCCGGTGTGTTGGGAAATGAACAAGCGGACAGACTGGCTGGCTGTGCACAACTTGGTGGAATACTGCTACATGATAGGGCAGGCGTGGTTAGTGCCTTGTGGGAGAGCGTGTACAATGCGGAGGAGCAGATGGATCACCACAGTTTGGTGAGATTGATGCAGTTGGGGGTGACGAGAGGTTCTGGCAGAAGCTCAAGGCTCAGAGGAAAGGCAAGACGGACGTTTAATCAGAAAGCTACTGGCACCATTATTATCTGAACTCTTTGCTGGCTGCTGAATATGGGGACGGAGCGCTTATGGGAATGCCCCGAGTGCTGTGATGTCGGTTCTTGAATCAAATCATATCAAGGGATAGGAATCAGGAAAACCAGGGTAATCTACCTTGCAAAATGGCGGCTTATTCATTTTGAAAGAGTAGGTTCTGGTTTGCTTTTAAATAGCGTCTGATATTTCTTTATTTACTTGGTTTGTGTGTGTGTGTTAAAAAAAATTGAGTTAGAAAATTCTATTTATAACAAAATACTACTTTTTACATTTAATGTAAGTTTTACAGGAACATAATAGTTAATAAAAGGTGTTGCGTATCCTTTACAGGACGTTGCAGAACCAACCCCAACAGCCCCCCCCCCCCTCCCCTGGCTGTTGTGTGGCTTCTCGAGGCAAATTTACGTCCAGTAGTTTGCCATTGCCTCTGGACGGTCGGCTTTCTTGATACTACTGTCGAAACCAACGCAAGGCGCATTGCCCGCAGCTAGGATCGAACCCGAAGCGAAGTGTTCGCATCGACTTAGCCACAGAGCCGACTAATAGTTAAGACATGATGATAAATTACATTTTAATAATTTAATTAATGTAAAGTCGGAAAAATTAAAAATGATTAATAATAAAAAAAAATTTGTCTAAAATAAGCCTTGGACTCTGTCAGTTCGGAACTATAAAGAACCCACCCAGACTGGACAACGAGCAGTAACCCAGTATAAATGTGCTATTCGGTTGACTTATATTAGTATCAGTTTTATCAGCTTTGTAATGCCGGGGGGGGGGGGGGGGGGGGGGGGGTTTGATCCCAGCCGCAGAGGGTTTGTCTTACGTTGTTTTCAACAGTGGTACCTAGAGCTGACCGTTCAGAGAGCAATGGCAAACTACTGAACGTAAAATTTGCCTAGAAAAACCACAACAGCCAACAAATTATGTGGTTGGTACTGCTACGTCCTGTAAAGGATATGCAACTAACCGTTTCTTTTTAACTTACAACTTTTAGCTTAGTCAGTACCTACCGAAATGTCATATTTCTGAGATGCCACATGTAGCTTCATACTGGGCACACACACTCCCAGGGTTCCAAGACACTTGTGGAAAAAAAAGGGCTCTCCTTTCAACTACGGCCGGTAGACAACAGTAGACGGCTGGTTAGTCGGAGTTCTGTCCCCTGGCTGCAGTGCAATTATGGACTGGAGAAAGCACGAATCAGAAAACACAGTGAGGTCGACATGCCTGGCAGACCCCGCGCTGCGACTCAAAATAGCGACCGCGTTCAATTACTGCTTCTTGCGACGCACTACGGAGTGGAATAGAGGGAACCAAACAAGTGACATAATTACTGTGTGTTGGCGATAGACAGCGTGCAGTGCCCTACTGTCATCATATGGTTTGGGTTAGGGTTAGGGGTAGGGTTTGGTTTAGGGTTAGGGGTAGGGTTTGGGTTAGGGTTAGGGTTTGGGTTGCTACTATGAGTTTGTGCGAAGACGAGATGCGGCGACACTAACCGTAACCCTAACCCACACCCTAACCCTAACCCTAAACCTAACCCACACCCTAACCCAAACCGTAACCGTATGATTATAGCAGGGCAGTGCACGCTGACTATCGCCAACACACAGTAATTATGTCATTTGTTTCGTTCCCTCCTTTCCACTCTGTACTTGCACTGCAGCAAGGGGACAGAACTCTGACTAACCAGCCGTCTACTGTTGTCTACCGGCCGTAGTTGAAAGGAGAGCCAAAAAAAGAATTGATCCACTGCCCCATAACAAGCATGTCATAAGAGTCGACTAATTAGGAATGTTTCTTTCGAAGTCATCCAGCAGACTGCATACACATAAGTCAGGTCTGTTAAACAGATGTGCATGCAAAACTCAGGTTCTGAAACAAGGCTATAGTCCAGAAGTGGATGAACAACCACAACTTTCCGCCAGAGCTTACAGCTCGTGAACGCGAAGAAGATACAGGACACTCAAGCATCTCTGTGTTACTGTGTTAGTACACATTAGAGAGGCATGTGTTCTTGAAATGTCACATCATTTTCTAACTTGATTTTTTGTTTCTAATCAGGTTCACCGCCATAAATTGATTATTCCAGACATTGAAAAAAAAGAGTTCATAAAATAAATCACTAATCGTGATTTCAACTACCTTTAAAGCTCATTATGTCAGAAAAGAAAGATGATCAGATACAGGACTTCACAGGTTGTTACTGGTAAGCTATATCAACTTCGTTGACTTTCAGACCATGTTTTCCCCGTTTAGGTTCCAGGGCCCCATTGTGGAGAAAACAAGAATAGACTCACTGCCTCCCCAACAAGCATGTCATAGGAGTCGATTAATTAGGGTCATTCGTGTAAGTCAGAGTGCATCTGCCCGAGAGGCAAGAAACTAAGAGTCTACATACAGATAAGTCAGACCTGTAAAACGGATGTGCATGCAACATTCAAGTTCTGGAACAAGACTAAAGTCCAGAGGTGTACGAAGAACCAGAATTTTCATAAGAATTTACATGAAGAAGAAGAAGAAACCGTATTAATTTAAATGGTAACACATTTCTTCTCCTGCTTTGTGTGTGTTCAAGCACTACTCCAAATGTGTGAATTCTTTTAAAATCCATACTGGAGGGTAAAGCTGAAGGCAAGATAGAAAGAAGTAGGCAGCAGTACAGATGGGAAGATTATATCAAGAGGTACCTGGGTACTTTATTAATATCCTACCCCAGTCCAACATTTTAGAGGGTGGTAAGACTGGAGTTTCTTGGCTTTCTGATGCTTTTAACAACCCCACAACATCTAGAACTGGCCATAACCCTAACCCACCTACATCCCACGAGAGAGTGCAGCCTAGGTCCCACTACTGCATGCAGCCTAATATTTCAGGGGGTGGTAGATAGGCTGCATGAGGCTGTGGGACCTAGGCTACATGTAGTCGTGGGACCTAGGCTGCACTCTCTCGTGGGACGTAGGTGGGTTAGGGTTATGGCCAGTTCTAGATGTTGTGGGGTTGTTAAAAGCATCAGAAAGCCGGGAAACTCCAGTCTTACCACCCTCTAAAATGTTGGACTGTCCTGTGACGTCATCTGGGGTAGGATATTAATAAAGCACCAAATATTTTAAAAGCTGCTAATAAAACAAAAAACCAAAGATGTTGTTTTCATCAGCAGTTTATTTGTCTACAGTTAATAATCTAATTAATAGGATAAAATAGTTGCATATCTTTTACAGGACGTTTCAGAACCAACCCCAGCATTTTTGGGCTGTTGTAATTTTTTAAGGCAAATTTCATTAGTTTGCTTTTGCTTTCTGAACGGTCAGCTATCGGTACCACTGTTGAAACCAATGCAAAACAAACTGTCCACAGCTGGGATCAAACCTGGCACTCCAGCATTACGAAGCGCGTCCTTGACACCGAATTGATAGGATACTGCATCAATATTTGGACACTAATTTACCAGTTTTTGATGTTTTTTCTTCCATGTTATTTCACACTTTATTTATATGGATGTTTTTCTCCAAGTCCTTGCTAATAATGCTTGGGATTTTTTCATTTTTTCCTCTTTTTAATTTTATTTTTAAAAAATTGTGGTGAAGGGGTTTCTTGCCATATATTCAAAGGGATGGCACCTGAAAAAAGGTTAAAAACCACCGTATTAGTGTTTGCGAAGCTGGTGTGAAGTGTTAGATCTTCACACACCTTTTGCCACTGTGTATGAGGTTGGGTGCCTGGTTCCCTGTCTCGTTGCCTCTCCTTTCTTTAAAAATCTAATGCTCATTTTTATGAAACTGGGTTGACCTCATCTTCTTCTTCTTCTTAGCATTCAGGAGCTGTAAAATCTGGCAGAAAGTTCTGGTTGTTTGTTCGCTTCTGGACTTTGTTCTTGTTCCAGAACTTGTGTTTTGCATGCATATCTATTTGACAGGTTCAACTTATTTATATGCAGACTGTTGGTTCCTTGCCTCTCAGGCAGATGCACTACCACTTAAAAGGAAATACCCCTAATTAGACATCTTTTTACAACATGCTTGTTGGGGGGTGAGGCAGGGGGAAGCGTTTATGCAGATATTGTCTCAATCTTATCTGCCATTCTGATTCAGCTTGTAGTTATTAAAATACAGATTTTAAAATTTATCCTGTACATTTTTTCTTGCAGCGGTGAGAAGCGTAAATTGGGTACCCCAGAGTTTCAGTGTTCATCTTGTGGAACCTGGTTTCATGGAACCTGCGTGAATATTCAGACAGGGTAAGATGTATTCCTACATTTACTTGTCTGTATTAGAGATCCAGCATTCCAGTCCTGGAGGGGTCTCCATTTTGTGCCTGGATACTGTTCTCTTTCTCTTATTGGCAAGAGCTGGGGTCCAACAGCAGAGACCTGACCTTCTGGTCCAGGACATTAAAAGACATTTTGTTATTAAAGAGAGGTTAAAAAAAAAAAAAATTAAGTTAGTTAGTCGTTATGGTTCCGGCATCACAGTAAACGAGCTTGGCCCATAATTGCTGAACCGCCTATGCCAGTGATTCTAGTCACAAACTGAGTCAGATACGCTGGATACTTCAAGTGAATGCCGTAGCCATACAAAGTGTCCTCAGTCGGCAAAACAAACATGATTTGATCTAGCAAACCATAAGGTGCATGCCTCGAAACTGGAGGAGAAACAGCGACGAGAACGGTCAACATAAGCCAAGTTCTCAACCGTCATCCATTCTCTATCAATGTCGGAACCGGAAGCTAAATGAAAAAAATGAAGGCAAGAGAGTAAGTTGTAGGCAGCGATACTTCTTCTTCGTTGCATACATTTAGTAATGAAAGAATTTGATGGGTCGACTGGGACTTTTGAAAAGGCTGTTGATAGAAAACTACAATATTGAAAGGTGTGTTTACAGTGGGTACCAAGGATGTTGACTGATCACCAAAAGTAGAAACACTATAAACACTTGGTTCAGTAAGCAGGCAACCACAATCCTTTTTTTTTTTTTTTGCGGGGACCTGTTGCCACAGGTACCTGTTGATTCTTGTCTGAATGCCTAAGGTGACTTTTTTGACAAAACTCATGCATAATTCATTTAAAATGAAGGCTTTGTTTAATTTTGCCCTCCCCAAAACTGCAACAAGATGATTACCATATTATGGACAGACCAGAGCAAGTCATTATTCTGCACCTTAGAACAGGGTACAGTCAACCTTGCTGTCACCTGTACACAAAATTTAAGATTGGCGAATCAGCCATGTGCACCTGTGGACTGGCACCTGAGACAACAGATCACATCCTCCAAGACAGTCTACAATACAACATTTCCAGGCAAAACTTCTGGCCTAGAGAGACACTGGTGGAAGCCAAACTTTACAGGCCACTAAGTGAATTACAAAAGACAGTGAAGTTCTTACTAGAGACAGCATTGCAGTTATAGATAATTTATTTCAAACAAACGAAAGAAGAATTGGAACAGGTTTCCTTATACATTCAAAAGTAGCATCAAGCTAACGGGCATTGAATGAAGAGGGTTGAAGAGAATACTTATGTGCCTTGCAGACCTTGCAACTGTGTTCTGTGACTTCAGTTTCTTTTTGAACTGCCCTAATACAGTGCTGTGGTATTTTTGTGAGATGTGTATTTATGCATCCACATGCTGTGCTGGACAGAAGATGGTGTAAGTGTTGTTGTTATTCTGAAACTGCTGAGTTGTATGCTCTTAGATATCCAGCGCCATTTTCAGGAAGGTGCTAGTTTGTTGAAGCTAGTCCAGGCATCTGTAAAATAATTGTTGGATAAGACTGTCACAAATGATTTAGCAACAGAAGAATGCTGTCTGTGACTCGTAGCAGCACTACTTGTGTTAGGGTCGGCAAACTAGCACTGACCAACACCTGACTCCACTTGCAGCTGATGATCTAGAACAGGGCCATTCAATTAGGTTTATTCAGGGATCCAACATTTTGAAAATGGGGACCGTCACGTACTAGAGGCCTGAGCTCCAGCATAGAAAGATAATTAATACAGGTCAACAGGCACTGATCCGTTGGCCACTTGCTAGACCTCTGTGGGCAGCCAGTTGAATAGCCCTGGTCTGGAAACAGCCTTATGTCTTCTATCACTCCCTCTCTCTATATTCCCACTTTTTGTTTTGTTATCATGTCAGATAAATGTTGTTTAAACATTTTGTATGTTTAGCAGTGTGTTCCGGCCTATTTATTGTGGAGTTTGGAGTGTCAGTTGTCATTGTTCCTGTATACTGGGACAACTATAATCCCAGTTGTCTTAAATCTTACTTGGCCATCTTTGTCAAGTACATTACACTCTACCTCACTGTTTCTCACTCCGGGTGTCTCTTCTTTTCTTCTCTCTCCTCTCTCACTCTATAGACTATGGACTCCATTTTTTAGAACAAAGAATAGATCCACTGCCCCCTTAACCAGCGTGTCTTAGGAGGCGACTAATTAAGGGGTGTTTCCTTCAAAGTCAAAGTGTATCTGCCAGGGAGGTAAGGTACCAACAGTCTATATACAAATAAGCCAGATCTGTGAAACTTATCTACATGCAAAACTAAAGTTCTGGATCAAGATCAAAGTCCGGGTGTGAATGTACAACTAGATTTTTCCGCCAGAGTTTACAGCCTGTGATCTCTAAGAAGAAGATTATGGTATTTTGTGTGTCGTCACTGATATTTTGTGTGTTTTAGCTGGTATTTTGTGATCTTCACTCTAGTGCAGCATATTAATCTGTGTTTTTCTCCCTTATAAACAGAAAATGTCTCCCATTCATGATCAGCTACCAGTTTCTGTGTAAAAAATGTAGTGGCATAGGACATGAAACCTTTCAGAAAAAGCAAGCTAGTAAGTGGTTTGTGTTGTATCTTTACTTCTGAGTGTTTTTAATTTTAAACATGCATTGTGGTCTCAAGAGCCTGGAACTAACAAATGTCTGGTTCAAATCCAGTTTGAAAATTTGTTGTTGTTGTTGTTAGAAGTACCTGATGATGTTGTACTCTCTCCTTCTTGATCTTTTTACTTTTCAATTCTCTTCTCTTCTCTTCTTTACGTTCTCTTTTACCACTTTGGGTGTTGATGGAGATATAAGGTCCTGCTTCGTGCTCTTCTGGCTCTTCGACCCTAGACACATCGTTGTGCTGTAGAGTTTCTCTGATGTCATCTTCCCATCTTGTTCTTGGTCTGCCTCTTGCTCCCTTTCCTCTTTTGGTATATGCCTTGTATTGTATAGCATCAGGAGGCATTCTCTCCAAGTGGGCAAACCATTTGATTTTCTGTCTTTGTATGTAATTTAGAATAGTTGTGTGCCGACTTTGTCTCGTATGACCTCATTCCTGATTTTATCTCTTCTGGTTACTCCTACAGTCTTTCTCAGACACCTCAGTCTTTCTTAGACACCTCATTTCCATGGTTACTAATTTTCTTTTATGTTTTTGTTGTGAGTGACCATGTCTGGCACTTATAGCATAGGGTAGGAATGAATATGCTTTGTATTAGATGTTTCTATTCGCTAATTGGGAGTGCCTTATGCTGTAAGAGGGTGCTAGCTGTCCCAATTCTTTACTGCATTGGATGTCTATTTCTTTGTCCAATTTACCATCCAGTGAATATTGTTTAAAGATATTTAAACTAAGTCTTCATTTTAATTAAAATCTGGGGTAAAAAAAAAAAAGATAAATATGAAAGTTGCTCCACACTTATTTTATTTTGTCACCAGACATAGGCATTAACCTTTCACCCCGGAAAGTCGCAAATCGTGCACTTTGGGTATTTTCCAGTTCTTTGAGAGTGCTATGCCACTGAACCGGGATTTCTGTATCGACAGTTTACAGGACACCTAGTTAATGCTGTTGGTTGTTTTTGCATCTGCGCAGCATCTAGGACAGAGGCTCTTAACCTTCCTAATGCTGCGACCCTTTAATACAGTTCCTCATGTTGTGGGGACCCCCAAACATACAATTATTTTTATTACTACTTCATAACTTCAATGAATACATGTTTTCCCTGGTCTAAGGCGACCTCTGTGAAAGCGTTGTGACCCACAGTTTGAGAGTCGCTGATCTAGGAGGTCAGAATAGGAATATATTTACTAAAAATGGCATTTAGAGGTGTTCCTTATGAACCAAATGACTTTTAAAAAAAAATTTGTGACGCCACATTTTCCCGAAACCCTTAGTGATAGAGATTCACAGGGTCACAACAAGAGTTGCCTGATACATATGTTTATTTAAGGTCCGTGGGAATATATTCCGTTCATTGCTTTACTCTGTTCATGTTTATTGATTACTCGCTTAGTATATCTTTGTATATTTCAAAAACAAATGTCAATAGGAGGTCAGAATAGGAATATATTTACTAAAAATGGCATTTAGAGGTGTTCCTTATGAACTAAATGACTTTAAAAAAAAAATTTGTGACGCCACATTTTCCCGAAACCCTTAGTGATAGAGATTCACAGGGTCACAACAAGAGTCGCCTGATACATATGTTTATTTAAGGTCCGTGGGAATATATTCCGTTCATTGCTTTACTCTGTTCATGTTTATTGATTACTCGCTTAGTATATCTTTGTATATTTCAAAAACAAATGTCAATAAATAAATGTCAAAAACATATAATAATGACCTGCGTAAAATTTTTGTTTTTAAGGGTAAAATATGTGTTTTTCTAGGATTTTTGTTTGAGGGATTTCCCACAGGTTCATGCCCATTTTTGTTTTAGCATTCCTAGGGGTAAATGGTAAATGACATTCTTCTTTTTCTGCTCTTTATTCTGCCAGTGGGGAAAAAGCCCTCGATGAACTAGTGTCATGTCCTGATTTCTTGCCATCGCGACCAGCTCATTCCATGCCGTCCCCACATTCTTCACCTCATAATCTGTTTCTCTTCTGCATATGTTTTGAAAGTTGTCTTTTTTTTCTTTTCTAAATGATATTGATTTAAGTATTTTATATTCTAGTGTAAGGGATCACACTATTTTGATCATATCCCAGTGCCTGTTGTATCTGAATGCCACATTAAAGGCTCAAAGACATCTATGTTTGAAAAAACAAAACAAAAAGCCCTTGAAGGTCACCAGATATAGGAATGCTGGACACAGGGATCCAATAGGAGACAGGTCTAATGTACTAAAGAATCAAACTGCCTATTCTGTGAAGCTCCTTGAATTTAGGGCTAGGTCGGCCTTGGAACCAACATCAGTCCAGGAGTGATCTGCCTGAGAGGCGAGGAACCAAACATCCGCATAAAAATAAACCATATCTGTAAAATGGATGTGCATGCAAAACTCAAGATCTGGAACACAACTAAAGTCCAGAAGTAGGTGCACAGCCAGAAATTTCTGCCGGAGTTTACAGCCGGTGAACCTCATAAAGAAGAAGAAGAAGAAGAATCGTATGATCAAGACTTGACATCACTGCACTCATGACAGTTTTGGATGTGCCCCATCCTCTTACCTCAGGAGCCGGCAAAGAAGAGCAAAAATGGGAGATAAGATGATGAAATTCATTGATTGAATGGCTGGTTTTCTCACATGTATATATTTTGTGATTACACAGCATTTATCCAGATGTGCCAGATGACACTGGCCAACCTGGTTCACAGTAGCAGGACAGATGGGAATCCTAAATCGTTGTTTTCCAAGGACAAGGTATGCCTGCTGTTTTGTTGTCTGGAATCACCATGTGGGTTCCAGGACCCCATTGTTGAGGGGTGGGAGGGGGGGGGTAGAATAGACCCACTACCCCATAACAAGCATGTTGTGAAAGTATACCAATTAGGGATGTTTCTTTTGAAGTTGGATCTGCCTGAGAAGCGAGGAACTAACAGTTCTTATACAAATAAGCCAGATCTGTAAATCTGATGTGCACACAAAACTCAAGTTCTGTAACAAGACTAAAGTCCAGAAATGGACAAACAAGCAGAGCTTTCTGCTAGTTTACAGCTGGTGAATGCAAAGACAAAGAAAAAGTTGTTTATAATCAGTCAGTCAGGGGCCATCTCCACACAAAAAAGTTGGCTGTAAAGGATCCCCAACACACTATCTCTTGTCCTGGTTGTCGTAGGCAGCCGTCAGTCCCCTAGGGAGCATGGAGCTCTGCTGCCGCTTTTGGACACGTCTTCCACAACTTTAAAAGCCTATGTGGGAGTGGCAGTCTCTGCCCCATAGAGTAAATACAAATGTTGATACTCTGTTTTACTGACGCTGATTTCCTTTCAGATGTCTCCTGTCTACAGCTTGCTATGTTGGACCTCTTGCGAAATGTGACGGTCCATCTTTCACTGTCAGCCTTTATTAGAGTTGTTCTGCAAATGATCTCTCCCAAGTGTCTGTCAATGTTGGTATTTTTCAAGCTGCATTTGCCTGTGTCCTTATAGCCTAGCTTTCACCTTCCTGCAGGTCTTATCCCTATTTCCAGCTCTTCACACAGGAGGTCCTTTAAATTGTGACCGTCCTTCTTGCGGGAGATATGTACCAACCAGCATAGTCGTCTTTGCTTCAGTAGAAGGTACATTGCTGGTATTTTCAATCTACTGGGTTCATATTGGTTGGGGACAAAGTCTTGCCATGATACACCAAGATTAGGTCTCCAACAGCGCATGTGGAAAGTATTCAGTCTGTTTTCTTGAGGAGCATATAGAGTTCGGGTTTCGCTGCTGCAAAGGTCCTCTCTGTTAGCTTTTTGTTTGACCATGCTGTATGAGTTTCGGAGATATTGTGGGGTAAAAAAGAGTAGACCCACTGGCCGCTAACAAGCATCATAAAAGTTGACTAATTAGTATTACCTTCTAAGTAGGACTGCATCTGCCGGAGAGGTAAGGAACCAACAGTTTGCATACAAATAAGCCAGGTCTGTAAAACGGATATGCACCCAGAGCTCTTGTTCTGGAACAGACTAAATTCCAGGAGTGGAAGAACAGCCAGAACTTTCCCTCAGATTTTACAGCCAGTGAACGCGAAGAAGAAGTTCAACCACGCTATTGTTGTGTGTTTGAAAAACATTGGAGAAGCCTTTCCTATTCATCTGTTCTGTGTCTAGCTAAAACTCATCTGCAGTTCTTCTTCTTCTTCTTCTTCTTCGTTCACCGGCTGTGAATTCCGGCGGAAGGTCCCGGTTAATCGTCCGCTTGGACTTTTGGCTTTTACCTGGACCTGGGTTTTGCGTGTACAACCGTTTTATGTTCCCTGCCTCATGGGCAGATGTACTCCAACTTCGAGGGAAGACGTCAAGCCTATTTCTAGGATGACTGTGGCCATTGTTTTGTGTGGGTCAAACGTTGCCTGATTTGTGTGGTGTCCTCTTTGTCGCCTTCTCAGCAGGTTTTGCCCCCGGAGTACCCCTTTGGAGCAGCCCCTTGTGGAACGGTTGGCCCTCAAGGGAAGGCAGGGGCAGATCAGGGCATTCCCCGCCATCCAAGGAGGCTTCCATGTATGCAGAGCCGGCACATGGCGCTCTGGTTCTGGGCTCACCCAAGGAATCATCACGTCCTGCACATGCTTGCTTAACCTCACAACCGTATTAGGCCTCTCGCTCGACAAGGGCTGCGCCCTCTGGAAGTCAGCGGGTAGCAGCCCGCGGGTTCTGAACTTTTGTGACCAAACGAATAGGTACATTCTTTTTCTTTGCACGTTAGATTTCTTTGACGAGCCGTTAGCCCGACAGAATTTAACATCCTGCGTCAGGCATTTGGTTATCAGTTTGGTCCCAACACTCGGGCAATTGGGGTCTTTGGGTGTGGACATTTGGACTTTTTCCGTTCAATACAATATGTGATGGTCGGATTTTGAGCTTACTCATGTGCCGTAGGATCTTGTTTTGTCGGACATTTAGGCTTAGCCATTCTTTGGGCTGTTGCTGTTGTGGTGTACCTCAGCGAGGTGATGACGACACTGAGGGTTAGCAGAGGATGTACATGGGTAGAATCTTGCTGCGAGACGCCACCCACAGGAGATGTTACTCGTCTGTGCTGCGGGTAAATCTCTAGGTCAAGAGTTGAGTCTCAGCAGAACAATGTTCAATCTTTTAACCAAGGGTTGTAATTTTAGCTGTACGTTAGGCAAGCACTTTACTCATGTTCCTAATGAGTTTTGATAACCTTTTTCACCCACGCGTTTGGGGGCGGGCTGATGAGAGCCACAAGGACACATCACCTCTGGGGGCCGCCAACTCCGAGATCCCCTGCCAGCTCTGTTAATGCTCATTTAAGACATTACCCGTGGCGCACAACGAGGACGTGCTGCAGGGGTTTTGCGCGAGGTTCCGTAAAACCAGAACAGTGAAGGACTGGCGCCCTAGTGACGTACGGAGTATCTCCTTATACACATCATGTTGGACTTAACTTTCCCTCACGCCTGTGACATAAATCACCGCGCCACATCTGCAGTTCAATATCTTGAGTACTTAAACGCATGTCAACCATGTCCCGGTTGTACACTACTTGAAACTGCTATTTGTTTGTCTCTTGATGTTCTTCTCCCACTTATATCATTGTTTACCTCTTGCTCATTTGCTTTCATCTTTCCCCTACTGAACCGTGTTTATAAGAGTGTTGTGTCTTTCAATAAGGCTATGAAACTGTTCACCAGAGATGTTGTTTACTGTAAGGTTACTCCTTGTTTCTTTCATCATTATCATACTTCATAACTGGATGTCCAAACTGACAACTGAAATGTTGATAATTGAGATTTCCTAACAAATAATTTAAAAGTCGAGAGGATCGACTTCATTACACTGGGTTTTATCTCATAAGTCTTGGCCTGTCGCCACAGAATAGCTAGCCGCCTGCCGAGAGCACTGCACAAAGCAGGAACTTGGTAGTTCTAGCAGTAGTCTCCAGGGATCTCCATAAAATTGTAATCATGGACCGAACAATGTAGCCATGAAACAAACCCACAGCCTTCAGCGCTAGAAGCAAGGCAAATGGCTCAACCATCTCACTATTGAGACCCTGTATTAAAAAAAATATGTAATAGAACATTCAAACTTTAATTGAATAAAATGTAAACAACATTTGTATTCAAAATGTAGCACAGCTCTCTTCTTTGTGGCGTACGTTGATGTCACACCCAGGTTCGTCTTTAAGTTTGCTACAGGAGGAGTCGATTGGAAGATTATAGACGAGGATAAAGATGGTTGTGTCGATAGTGGTGATGATGATGATGATGTCTTGCTAGCTGCATGCTTCTCACGTGACTCTGCTTGTATAATAAAGTGTGTGGAAACAACTATTCTTGTCTATACCGTCTTTATTGTGATACTCCAACAATGTCACAAATAACATCAAATGATATTCTGAAAAGCGCTAAGTTATCTCTATGGCTAAATACTCGTAGGTTCGCGTTGTGTTCTTCTTCTTTAGTTACTTTGTTAAACTGGTTCTAGTGTCTCTAACTGCCACCTGGCTTCTAGTACTGTTGGTACTAACGGCTTGATTGTCGACTCTAACATCTCTCTAGTGTTCCTAATGTGTCTCTGTTGACCATGGATCCATGTATATCTTGTGTGTCGTCTCTGTAGCTCGATGTCTCGTTTCATGTCTGCTCTCCAGTGACTGTCTTCTAGGTTCATTATGAACGGCTGCTCTGCTTCCAGTGTTGAGCTGGCATCAAGGATCATTGAGACTAGTCGCTCGTCCTCTGAGTCTCAACGACTGAAGGCTTCTAGTGTTGGGCTTACATCTCTACCGCTGAGGGCTGTATTGGGAGCCCATGTGACTGGCCTCTCTTCTCTCGAGTCTTGTGGACTGAAGAATTGCTAAAGTGCTTTGTTACTCGCTATTTATACTTGGATGCTGGAATGCTAGGTATTTGTTTTCTTCTCGCTTTGTCCGCTTCTAGAATATTCTAGTACGTCTAAACTTGTTTACTATGTACGTTCTCACATGGGATTTGCTAATTATATCTCGATTGCATCAGATTTCATCATCCTATTCTACGCAGATATAGTAGTTAAACTGACAATTGAGGTCATGGAAGCTTCTAGAAGAACAAGGACAATTGCGTTTGGTTTGATAGGGCACGTCAACAAGGTATTCACTAGTACGACAAGGTTGGGACACATGATGAAAAAAATGCATTTCAAAACTTCTAGAAAGAAGGCCAAGGCCAGACAACCTCAGTTTGATGTCAATAGCTTGTTTTGGCGAAAAAAGAAGATTCTGGAAAAGGGAATGTCAAGGTTACCAAGACTTGTTGATTTTCATCCCCTCATAACTTTGTGCCTTTTAACAAATAAGCTATGACTTAATAACTCTGCTACAAAAAGAAAATACACAAAACTGCTGATAGAGAGGTCTGCCGATCTCTCTGGCAAACCTCTATACCCCACGGTAGAAGAGGAGCGACTAAGTAAGTAAGTAAGAAAACGTAATTTATATGAAGATGCCACATTTACATCTTTATATGAAGATGCCACATTTACATACTTGTGTGAAAAATAACCACCATGCCATATTTTTGTGCAGGATATTATCCCGTACATCGACAAGAATTGGGAGCTCCTAACCACAATGCAGCGCAGGGTCAAGTCAACCTGGCATACGACTATCTGCAGGACTATGGTTGGTATTTGACATGAAGTGTTTACTCACTTTTGTCTAAGCAGAAATTGTTTCTTCTTCTTCTTTACGCTCACCAGCAGTAAACTCCGACAGAAAGTTCTGGTTGTTTATGCATTAATAAACTTTAGACTTGACCCAGTTCTTGAGTTTCACATGCACTTGTTCTGGCTGATTGGTATACAGACTGTTGGATCCTCTCCTCTCAGGTAGATGCACTATGACTTTGGAAGGGAACAGTCCTAAATAGTTGTCACCTGCGACATGCTTATTAGGGGGGATAATGGGTCCATTCTTTGTTCTCCAAAATAAAAACCCTGAACCCACATGAGAATTTTTATCTTTTATTTTTCAACATCCACATCTTAAGATGTTTGCAGCAGCATCTGTGGGTATGTCTTGTGCTGTGAGGTAGATTCTTAAATCAGTATTCGACAGCAAGTTACTTAAAAAATATTTGTTGGCTGTTTGTGGTTATAATAGTACACACAGTATTTTTTATAGACCAATCGGCGCAAGATGGGTGATGTGGTCAGCATCACGCCGGCCGCCTTTACTTTCCCAGGACTGCACCTGGTACCCACTCAAGGCCGAGTCGACCCGGGAGCCAAGGTCATTTTTGAAGAAAGTCCGGCTCTGCCAGGGAGCGAACCCACGACCTTCTGATCCGCGACGAGCGTCTAGCCGCTCGGCCACGGCGACTCCCGAGGAATTGATGACATCTTTAAAAAAGACCTAAGTTGATGTAGCTGAGAGAGGTCAGAGGTGGTGGGCTGAATTCCATCCCTGATACTGAATAATTGTTGTACAGGATAGAACTCAGTGAAAGAATAAACTATGAGCCCTGTATGACCTGTAAGGGTCTCAACAGGATGATGATGATGATGATGACAACGACCACAGTACTTAAATCTGCCTACTGAATTAGTTTTCAGTTGGTTTGAAAATAGTTCAGGACCCTTTTCCATGCTTTCAGGTGTGTTCGGCATAATAGGCCGACCTGACAGCCAAGGTCATTTATGAAAAAAGTTCTGGCTCCGTCAGGACTTGAACCCACGATATTCCGATCTCACTACACCGTTGTGGCTCTCGTTTTAAGAATAGTGTCAGAATATTCTTGTAATCAACTTTTATTTCTATTTTTCATCTAAAAAAACAACAATGATCATTGTATGTCAGTTTGATGTATAATTAGAGTAAAAACCCTCGTTAGCATGAACTCCAGTGGACCGAAAAATGGTTTGTATTAAACTAAATTCATGCTAGCCGAGGACTTAGATTTCAATGTTGTAATTCTTAATTGGTGAAGTAAATTCTTTGTGTATTTAAAAATTCCTTTTTTCAAATGCAAACTTTATTTTAATGGGGGTGAAAATAATACGCACACAGATGAAGGAGACTGATGTATTCACGTACAAAGAAGAGTCATCAGGAGATGCATATTTTGGTCTTGTTAATCAGGTATGCTGTGAACTTCTTTTTGTTTTGTTTGCTGTTGGTATTTTTGTAGAATTGCAGCGTCCGTGGCTTAGGCATTGCCAGTCCGACTCGTAATTCCAACGTACCGCGATCGAAACCCACTGCTGGCTGCATGGATTTTTATCATGGTATGGGGCGTCGCAGGTCAATCCATCCTAAAATGGGTAACAGGATGTATGTCCTGGTGAAGTAAAGATGGCCGGCATAATGCTGACCACATTACCCACCTAGTGCTGATGGCCTAAAAATATGGGTGCTATTCCCATATGACCGATGCGCCTAAAGGCGTGAAAAGGGATCTTTTCTTTTTACTCTATCTGTAGGATTGAGTGGGTTTAAAACATAAAGAATCCTTCTTGTGCTTTTGGTGCAGCAGATGTTTTTTTATAAGCATCTCAGTTGTTTGTATATTTAACATTAGACTGCAGGAACATTTCAACAGGCGAAGTTTAACATGCAGAAAATCTAACATGAAAATAAGTACTACTGTAACTGAAGTAATTCAGATCAGCAGAATTCCTAGTCTGCTACAAGAAACAGATGATATACAGCATATTCACACCAACACTGTGCTACCCGTGCCAGACTTTGACATGACAGCGGCTAACCTACATAAAATTAACACCTGCGAAATGAGATGCCTAAGAAAACCATCAGACTTGACTATCTGAGACAAAGTTAGAAATAATATTATCAAACAGACTGTAGGAACAACCACACATGCAGCAAATCCATTGAGAAACAGAAGATCAAATGGTTTGGTCATCTAGTAAGAATGCAGCCAGAACTAACTATCAGTGCAGGCGCTACACTTGAAAAGATCTGAAGTGAAAGCAAGAGGCTGCCCTAGGAGAAGATGGATTGATGACATTAAAGGGCTTCTACATTGACATTGAACGACAATAGCCATTGCTGCCTATCTAGTGATGGATCACAAACTGTTCCTTCCCACAATGCTTAACAGGAGAAGTGGAAATTGATAATGATGATGAATTTGTTCCCTAAAAAATGTAACATCAGATAATTATTTGGTATGTCTTGACATATTTCCGTCATTGCTGGTTCTAGACCCGGATGAGAAAGGAGGAAGGCTAGGTGTGGGGCCAACTAGACTATGTTGTAAAAAAATGTTTGCTATATAAGCTTGCAAAAAAGTAAGCCATTCCGGTAAACAGATGAATCAAGTGGTGTGTCTTGACATATTGCAGGTCCTAAACCCGGACGAGAAAGGAGGAAGACTAGGTGTGGGGCCAACTAGACTACGTTGTAAAAAAATGTTTGCCAAATAAGCTTGCAAAAAAGTAAGCCATTCCGGTAAACAGATGAATCAAGTGGTGTGTGGTGCACAGAATGCACATGCCCGAGGAATGAACAAATGAAATGAATTCAAATGGGGTAAAAAAAAAAAAAAAAAAAAGAAATGACTGAGCAACTACTGGTATTAACAGTTTTAAGACAGAGAAGTAACTATATTGGGCACATTCTCAGAAGAGACTAACATTGAATCACCAGACAGGCACTGAAATAGGAAATTAAGGAATTGAGGAAATGAGGAAAGAGATCCTAAAGCGAATGTTGATAAGAGAAGCCAGAGGTTCTTGACTGGATTCCATCCGTGATATTGATTGTACTGGATAGAAGGGAATGCAAAAGACTGCAAGCCCTATGTTATATAAAATGGCTCAATAGGACAATGAATAAATGATTTTTGTTTTGTTTTGGGTACAACTCACAGTTCTCACTGGATCTCATTAGGCTGATTTCATATTGGTTCCCCGGGCTGTCCTATACCGCAGGGGTTATATGAGATATCTTCCTTCGCTGTCTATACACAGCGTGCCGAGAAGTGACTCGGGTTCATGAGGTTGACACAGCGTCTTCCAGATGAAATTGCAGCTTTCTTTTCGCAACTCTTTTTTTCTCTTCTGTGAATGAATGTCGTTTCTGGAATGTTACTTGAAGCCACTTATCTCATCTCATCTTGGAATGTATACAGCATTGAGATTATTTCTTTCCCACATGTTACTTGAAGCCACGTAGAGTGATATCTCATCTAGGAATGTGTACAGCATTGAGATTATTTCTTTCTCACAGATGATCTGTGATCAAAGTCATGCATTGTGGTATCTCATCTGAGAATATTTGCAGTGTAGAGGTGACTTTATTCTTGTGCATGATGATCTAAGTCATGTATCTCATCTGAGAATATTTGCAGTGTAGAGGTGACTTTATTCTTGTGCATAATGATCTAAGTCATGTATCTCATCTGGGAATATTTGTAGTGTTAAGATGATTTCTTTATTGTGCATGATAATCTAAGTGTTGCATGGTGACATCTCATCTGGGAATATTTGTAGTGTTGAGATGATTTCTTTCTTGTGCATGATAATCTAAGTGTTGCATGGTGACATCTCATCTGGGAATATTTGCGGTGTTGAGATGATTTCTTTCTTGTGCATGATAATCTAATTGTTGCATGGTGACATCTCATCTGGGAATATTTGCAGTGTTGAGATGATTTCTTTCTTGTGCCTGATAATCTAAGTGTTGCATGGTGACATTTCATCTGGGAATATTTGCGGTGTTGAGATGATTTCTTTCTTGTGTGTGATGATCTAAGTGTTGCATGGTGACATCTCATCTGGGAATATTTGCAGTGTTGAGATGATTTCTTTCTTGTGCATGATAATCTAAGTGTTGCATGGTGACATCTCATCTGGGAATATTTGTAGTGTTGAGATGATTTCTTTCTTGTGCATGATAATCTAAGTGTTGTATGGTGACATCTCATCTGGGAATATTTGCAGTGTTGAGATGATTTCTTTCTTGTGCATGATAATCTAATTGTTGCATGGTGACATCTCATCTGGGAATATTTGCAGTGTTGAGATGATTTCTTTCTTGTGCCTGATAATCTAAGTGTTGCATGGTGACATTTCATCTGGGAATATTTGCGGTGTTGAGATGATTTCTTTCTTGTGTGTGATGATCTAAGTGTTGCATGGTGACATCTCATCTGGGAATATTTGCAGTGTTGAGATGATTTCTTTCTTGTGCATGATAATCTAAGTGTTGCATGGTGACATCTCATCTGGGAATATTTGCAGTGTTGAGATGATTTCTTTCTTGTGCATGATGTTCTAATTGTTGCATGGTGACATCTCATCTGGGAATATTTGCAGTGTTGAGATGATTTCTTTCTTGTGTGTGATGTTCTAAGTATTGCATGGTGACATCTCATCTGGGAATATTTGCGGTGTTGAGATGATTTCTTTCTTGTGTGTGATGTTCTAATTGTTGCATGGTGACATCTCATCTGGGAATATTTGCGGTGTTGAGATGATTTCTTTCTTGTGCATGATGTTCTAATTGTTGCATGGTGACATCTCATCTGGGAATATTTGCAGTGTTGAGATGATTTCTTTCTTGTGCATGATGTTCTAATTGTTGCATGGTGACATCTCATCTGGGAATATTTGCGGTGTTGAGATGATTTCTTTCTTGTGTGTGATGATCTAATTGTTGCATGGTGACATCTCATCTGGGAATATTTGCGGTGTTGAGATGATTTCTTTCTTGTGCATGATAATCTAATTGTTGCATGGTGACATCTCATCTGGGAATATTTGCGGTGTTGATGTGTATTGTCTGTCACACTCAATAATCTAAGTCACACATGGTGATATCTATTCCACACAGGATTTATCCAAACTCGGCCCACAGTCTGATGCAGCAAGAAACACAACCCAGCCTACCCAGGGTCTCAAGGTTCCAACCGCACCGTCAGAAACTGGACCAGGTCAGATATTTGTTTGTTAACTCTTAACATCTACAGTACTTCTCGAAACCGGACTATTCAGCTGCCAGCCCGCAGGCCAGATCGGGCCTACAGAGGCCTGGCAAGTGGCCTGCAGATCATTGTCAGGTGTATCAGTGATCTTTCTGTTCTGGGACTGGGGCCTCTGGCCTGTCTCCATACCCATTTTCAAAATGTTGGCCCCCTGAGTAAACATAGTTTGTAAAGCCCTGCTCTAAACAGATTGTCAAGGAAACTTTTACATTTAAATTAGTTAAAATAATTTTTCTCAAGTTAACTAAGTTACAAAAGTTATCATTTTGTCTTAGAATACCGTGGACAAGAAGAAGAGAAACATTGATGTCCTGCAAGTTCTGATCAGTAGTGAGACTGCATTGTCCTACGAAACTAATAGGGAAGACTCACCCAGTCAACAAATGCCTGTAGAAGTCGGATGTGTTGGCCCAAAGGTGCAAATATTGCAGCTATGCTGTAAACGGGCACAATGCAATTACATCTTCGGATGAATGCAGAAGAAGCAAAACACTGACATCCTTAATGATGTAAGCATCGAGGACAACTGGCCAATAAACAACAGCCTGTCCCGAAAGCTGGGGTATTTTGGCCATGTTTAATGTCATGGTGCCTTGAGAGGATGGTGATGGAATGAACAGTTTTTGGAAAATGTGGCAGAGGCAGACCTCTGCGGATGTTGATAGAAGATATTGAAAATGCATTTGCTATAAAAGCACATAGAACTTCACATCTGGCAAGAGAAAGAGAGATGTTCAGGTGTTCTGTGACGAGAGCGACGTTCTGTAAAAACCAGCTGATTGATAACGATTTCATATTGTAAAAAAAAAAAAGTGGTAGACTGAAAATATATAGTCCATTTTAGGCTGAGAAAGTACTAGATTCATCTCTCAACTTAGTGCTGGAAACTTTTACAAAAACCACTGGTGTCTTATGTTAACATATGTCTTCCTGATCTCTTGGGTAGCGAGATCAAATACTTAGCCTACTCCTGCATATATACATGTTTATCAACACTCTATATACCTTTATCCATGACTGCTTGCAAGAATCCAGTACTGCATATTCCCTGCACAACCTTAAAAAGACCAAAAATACTTTGAGAATACAGTGAAACCGTAGGATACATGTGTAACTAATTAAAATGTTTTCAGGATACAAGGTCAGGCTGGCTAGTTTTTTTTGCCCCAGAATACGAAGCAAAATTAAGGATGAGAGCTGGAAAGACGAGAGCTCTCGGCATTACCTGACAGCATTTTGAAAACTTTTAAATGGATTAGGTCACATTAACATCGCTGAAGTAGGACTTAAGCCAGTCTGCGAGGCACATGATGGTGATGGACTGTAGCATCATAGTGGGAAGTAACCGCTTTTTCCACTGCCGGAAAAAAAAAATACAATTGCGGACTTCCGGTGACTACAGCCACTACCGAGAGTAGGGCTAAACTAGATGGCTGGGACTCACGAGCAAATAAAATGAAGAAAGCTGCAGGAGATGCGGTAGCAGCTGCTCGTGAGTCGCAGCCATCTAGATTAGCCCCGCTCTGCGCTGTGCATAGCAGCGCGGGAGATACTCTCGACGGTAGTGGTTATTGCCGGACGTCTGCAATTTAAGTCGCCGGAAGTCCGCAATTTACATGTGACTGAGGCCCTGTTAGGGTATATTTTTGGCCTCGATAATTTAGGACCGTTATTCGGAGGATAGCCTAAAATGATTAACATTCATTTTAATGAGAGTAACAGTTTTGTGATACGAGTTATTCACTTACGAGCTGATTCATAGAACTTATTAATTTTGTATGCTGGGATTCCACTGAACCATGAAAAAAGTTGGTGAATTTGGCAGCAAATCCTGTCTTACTGTGCTATGGTTTGGAATATGTGAAGTATTTGCTTTTTGTTGTTGTTGCTGACACACAAACAGACTGATTGACATCCTCACCTTTTTTTTTTTTATGTTTAGGAAAACGTACCAGCAAACGAAAAGCTCCACTGGACAGCCAACAAGCATCAAATCTCAAACAGAAGAGAAAGTAAGTATGTATTCTTTAAAAAGTTTAAAGGGAAAAGTATCAAATGAATAAATGAAGTTAAACCCCACCAGGACCGCACGATGAGCGATAAACACTTGGTGACACAAAGTACCACCATTTGGATGAGAATCACCTGGGCGCAATTCCCAGAATCACCGTTCAACCATTAGGTTATATTAGGGCCCCCAACAACAATCTGAGTGAGGCTTTAAAATAAAGAAAAATTGCATCCCATATTGGGACAGCAACAGATCATCATCATCATAAACCACTTCTGCCATTAAGCGATCCACTGCACCATCCCAATATGTGTGCAGCTGGTTCTCAGGCTCGTGGAAAGCTGCTGGGGCTGACTCCACCTCCATTCTCAGACTAGATGTTGTAGCATCATTCACTAGACTTTATTGCACTGAGCGTCCTTCATTCGCTTCAGTGATAATCCCCAGAGATCTCCATAAGAATGGAACTAGTAAACCGCATATAGCAGTCTGGGAAACAGACCTACAGCCTTCATCATCATCATCTTCTTTTATTCGCTTGAAATGAATTCTCTATATCTACAATGTTGTCTCTAGTATGAACTTCACGGTCTTTTGTAATCCTTCAGCAACCCATAAAGTTTAACTGGCACAGTTGTTTCTCTTGGCCAAAAGTTTTGCCTTGATATGTTGTATTTGGAACAGTCTTGGAGGACATAATCTGTTGTCTCAGGTGCCAATCCACATGTGCACATGGCTGATTCACTAATTTTAAATTTTGTGTACATGTGGCTGCAAAGTAGTGTCCTGTTCTAAGGCGTAGAAAATTACTTGCTCTGGACTGTCCATAAAATGGTGATCATCTTGTTCCGCTTTTGGTGGCTTTCTGATTGATTTGATTATTCTTTTCTTTTGTTGATAAGAGACTGGTATTTCAGCCTTCAGAGAGCATGAGGCAAACGTGTTAATCATTTCCCCTCAGGGACTCTGAAGTTTTCTTTCTAGCCACTGTTCATCATCATCATGTAGCAGGTCCTTTGCAGAACATCACTCTCATCACGGTCTGCCTGAAAGATATATGTGACATTTAACGAACAGCAAAAAGGATAATAATACAACAGAAATTAAATGTCTGTGACAATTCTGAAATATAACTAGAAGAGACAGGATGAGAAATACAATGTCAGGAAAAAATTTGGGACCTAACCAGAACTAAACTACATCAAGAAGCAACAGCGACCGGCTTAGCGCAGTCGATAGTAGACTCACTTTCAAATCCAGTTGCTACTCGCTGCAGCCCACAGCAGGTGTTCGAAACCGGGCGGTTCCCAGGGTTCACCCAGCCTCTAGGTAATGGGTACCAGAGTTAACACTCTGGGGTTAATGGAGGAACATTGCTGAAGCTATGTAGTTTCGTGCGGACATCGACACAGGTCGACAGTTTCTTATTAGCTGTCCGTACTGGTGGCAGAGCACTTAAGGTTTATAGCCGTGTGCCACGATACTGGTTTACATCTCTTGACTTTACCTTTATATCAAGAAGCAACAAATCAGATGATTTAGGCATGTGTCAAGAATACCGCCAGACAGTGCACCACAGAGAGCCCTGTCACCTAGACATAAGGGAAGCAGTTGTAGAGGTCAGCCACACAGCTGATAGATAGATGGAATATCCGAGGCCATTAGTACCAGCATCTAAAGCACATACCAAAGCTTACACCCAATGCCTCTTCAAAATCTGTGCTGAAGGGCAGAACAGGATTAAGAGAAGAAGAGGAAGGATGATGGTAAAATTTGCCTGTTTCCTCAACAGTGACAGCTCTTCCTCTCTCAAGCTTCCTGCTCATGGCTACCCCATGGAACACCCCTACAACAAAGATGGCTACCGGTACATCCTGGCTGAGACGGACCCCCATGCTCCAAACAGGCAGGCATTTGATGAGAGCGTCGAATGGGCCGGCAAGCCGATTCCTGGCTACCTCTACAGGTGCATGCTGGGCGGTGAGGTCTTGCTAGCTTTACATGATAGAGGTTTGTATCAAGAGTTGTTATTTATAGGTTTTCATCTCCTCTTTGTCTCTTCTAACAAAACTGTTATTTATAGGTCTTTGTCTCTTCTAACAAAACTGTTATTTATAGGTCTTTGTCTCTTTGTCTCTTCTAACAAAACTGTTATTTATGGGTCCTTGTCTCTTCTAACAAAACTGTTATTTATCTGTCTTTGTCTCTTCTAACAAAACTGTTATTTATCTGTCTTTGTCTCTTCTAACAAACTGTTATTTATCTGTCTTTGTCTCTTCTAACAAACTGTTATTTATAGGTCTTTTTTCTCTTCTAACAAAACTGTTATTTATAGGTCTTTTTTCTCTTCTAACAAAACTGTTATTTATCTGTCTTTGTCTCTTCTAACAAAACTGTTATTTATCTGTCTTTGTCTCTTCTAACAAACTGTTATTTATCTGTCTTTGTCTCTTCTAACAAACTGTTATTTATAGGTCTTTGTCTCTTCTAACAAAACTGTTATTTATCTGTCTTTGTCTCTTCTAACAAACTGTTATTTATCTGTCTTTGTCTCTTCTAACAAACTGTTATTTATAGGTCTTTGTCTCTTCTAACAAAACTGTTATTTATAGGTCTTTGTCTCTTCTAACAAAACTGTTATTTATCTGTCTTTGTCTCTTCTAACAAACTGTTATTTATCTGTCTTTGTCTCTTCTAACAAACTGTTATTTATAGGTCTTTGTCTCTTCTAACAAAACTGTTATTTATAGGTCTTTTTTCTCTTCTAACAAAACTGTTATTTATCTGTCTTTGTCTCTTCTAACAAACTGTTATTTATAGGTCTTTTTTCTCTTCTAACAAAACTGTTATTTATAGGTCTTTTTTCTCTTCTAACAAACTGTTATTTATGGGTCCTTGTCTCTTCTAACAAACTGTTATTTATCTGTCTTTGTCTCTTCTAACAAACTGTTATTTATCTGTCTTTGTCTCTTCTAACAAACTGTTATTTATAGGTCTTTGTCTCTTCTAACAAAACTGTTATTTATCTGTCTTTGTCTCTTCTAACAAACTGTTATTTATCTGTCTTTGTCTCTTCTAACAAACTGTTATTTATAGGTCTTTGTCTCTTCTAACAAAACTGTTATTTATAGGTCTTTGTCTCTTCTAACAAAACTGTTATTTATCTGTCTTTGTCTCTTCTAACAAACTGTTATTTATCTGTCTTTGTCTCTTCTAACAAACTGTTATTTATAGGTCTTTGTCTCTTCTAACAAAACTGTTATTTATAGGTCTTTGTCTCTTCTAACAAACTGTTATTTATCTGTCTTTGTCTCTTCTAACAAAACTGTTATTTATCTGTCTTTGTCTCTTCTAACAAAACTGTTATTTATCTGTCTTTGTCTCTTCTAACAAAACTGTTATTTATCTGTCTTTGTCTCTTCTAACAAACTGTTATTTATAGGTCTTTGTCTCTTCTAACAAAACTGTTATTTATCTGTCTTTGTCTCTTCTAACAAACTGTTATTTATAGGTCTTTGTCTCTTCTAACAAAACTGTTATTTATAGGTCTTTGTCTCTTCTAACAAACTGTTATTTATCTGTCTTTGTCTCTTCTAACAAACTGTTATTTATAGGTCTTTGTCTCTTCTAACAAACTGTTATTTATCTGTCTTTGTCTCTTCTAACAAAACTGTTATTTATCTGTCTTTGTCTCTTCTAACAAAACTGTTATTTATCTGTCTTTGTCTCTTCTAACAAAACTGTTATTTATCTGTCTTTGTCTCTTCTAACAAACTGTTATTTATAGGTCTTTGTCTCTTCTAACAAAACTGTTATTTATCTGTCTTTGTCTCTTCTAACAAACTGTTATTTATAGGTCTTTGTCTCTTCTAACAAACTGTTATTTATAGGTCTTTGTCTCTTCTAACAAAACTGTTATTTATCTGTCTTTGTCTCTTCTAACAAAACTGTTATTTATCTGTCTTTGTCTCTTCTAACAAACTGTTATTTATAGGTCTTTGTCTCTTCTAACAAAACTGTTATTTATAGGTCTTTGTCTCTTCTAACAAAACTGTTATTTATAGGTCTTTGTCTCTTCTAACAAAACTGTTATTTATAGGTCTTTGTCTCTTCTAACAAAACTGTTATTTATAGGTCTTTGTCTCTTCTAACAAACTGTTATTTATAGGTCTTTTTTCTCTTCTAACAAAACTGTTATTTATGGGTCCTTGTCTCTTCTAACAAACTGTTATTTATAGGTCTTTGTCTCTTCTATTATTTAAGGAAGTCACATGTCGAATAGCTCAAGCAAAGGCAGCATTATACAGTTTGAAGAATATTTTATGTAATTTTTCTTTGCCAGTTGAGATAAGAAAGATAATTCTTAAAAGCTGTATAAATCCTGTACATTGATTTACAGAAGTGAATCACGGACAGTTGGTAAATTAGTGAAAATTTATTTGGAAGCTGCAGAGATGTGGTTTTATAAACGAATGATGAGAATACCCTGGACAGATAAAAAGAGTAATGAAGATGTCTTGAAAGAAACTGACTCACAAACAGCCCACACCAGAAAGTGACAATCTACAATCTTTGGTCATGTAAGTTGGAGGTAAGGAGAGGCAGTGGAAGATGGAGAGAACAGATACTAAACAGTTTAACATCATGGCATGGATGATCATCTGTATCTGAGTTGATTAAAAGTACACGACACAGAAGATTTTGTATAGACATGACTACCGCCACACGGACAGGAAACTGTTATTTATAAGTCTCTTCTAACAAAACTGTTATTTTTAAGTCTCTGTTTCTTCTCCCAAACGATCACTTATAGATCTTTGTATTTTTTAACAAAACCATCACTTATGGATCTTTGTCTGTCTCTTTTAACAAAACCATCATTTATAAATCTTTGCCTTGTTTAACAAAACCATCATTTACAGATCTTTGCCTCTTTTAACAAAACCATCATTTAAAGATCTTTGCCTTGTTTAACAAAATCATCATTTACAGATCTTTGCCTCTTTTAACAAAACCATCACTTATAGATCTTTGCCTCTTTTAACAAAACCATCACTTATAGATCTTTGTATCTTTTAACAAAACCATCACTTATAGATCTTTGTCTCTTTTAACAAAACCATTTATAGATTTGTCTCTCCTTAACCGTCGTTTAAAGCTCTTTGTCTTTTCTAACAAAAGCATCATTTATAGTTTTTTGCCTATTCTAACAAAGCCATCATTTATAGATCTCCTCTGACAGCTTCCACACACCATAGACTTTTAACACATCAAAGGCAAACTTTTACACATTAAGATATTTTCACACGTCATAGAGATACTTTCACACATATCATAGAAAACTTTCATACATCATAGAGAGACTGTCACACTTCATAGACAGGTCACAGACTTGACTATCTTTTAATTTGTTGATGTATTTCAGCTCCACAATTAAAGGTTTCCGATGACCGTCTGACTGTTACAGGCGACAAAGGCTACAGCATGATCCGAGCGTCTCATGGTACGTAGCTTCTGACCTTATCATTGTCTTCTTCATCATCAAGCCCCGACTCCTCAATGTGATATTCATAGTTGTCTTGAATTAATATGCTTGAATAGTTACCCATGTGATAAATCCACCCCCTCCCTAACTAGCATGTCAACCAGTTCATTTAAAGTCATCACATTCTTTGCCATTTCATACAACTATCCCTCAAGACCTTTCCCATTCACCTCTGCCTCTGAATCTTCTTCTTTTTCGTTCATCTGAGTTTCTTCTGTTTTCTTGTTCTGCATTTGCCATAAAAGGGCACTTTACACATTGTGTTGTGATCTACAGCTTTTGGCCCAACTCATTCGCTTTAAAAAGCCCTTGGTTATTTGCTTTTTATGGCATGCCTGTTCAGGGACGACAAAGACGTGGCTAGGATATCAGTGTGGTCCATTTTGTGCTGCATTTTTTTCATCAGGGCTGTCTGTCCTCATCCTTCTTTCTCATGTCTTACTTACTTACTTAGTCGCTCCTCTTCTACCTTAGGGTGTAGAGGTTTGCCAGATAAATCGCCAGATGTCTCTATCAGCAGTTTTCTTTCAGTCCTCTGTCAGTTAGGGACTGTTGGATGTTGTCTTCGCAGCGCACCCTGGGTCGCCCTGGAGGTCTGGTTCCCTGGTTCTTAGCCTCCCATGCCTGCCATGGTGGCCTATTTTCTCCCATTCTGCATACATGTCTAAACCATCGTAACTGTGACTGATCCACTCGGGTTCTCTCTCAAGTACTGCCAGCAACTTCTTACACACTAGTTCTTCCATCAGAATGTTATATTAATAAAAATCTTAATTTTCCGATGTCGTTAGCTAAAAACTCGGAAACTACAGAACCGATTGCTTTCAAATTTGCACCCAACGTTGCCTTTGACTCCAAGTGTGATTTTTTTTGTCAGAAAATCACACAAACCACGAATGACGTAGCTCCAGCAACTGTCAAATCATTATTTGTTTCGTTGCCGGCCCGGATTTGTTTTTATGTGATCGGCCATATTTGACTGTTGAGCTCTTATTGAACTTTGCATTATTATATAATTTAATTTCCACTATTTGCTTGAGTGTTTGGTAGCGCAGTTGGTAGCTATTCTGCCTATCATTCAGGTGACCCGCGTTCGATTCCCGGCTAGGTGATATATTTTTTTTTTTAGCTGGCACGTTTGTGGTTTATGGCTAGGCTGCGATATCTACGCCTTTTTCGGTTTTGGGGTTTACAGCTAGCCTGCGACAGCAGCGACGTGATGCTCAATGGTCATGTCACGAGTAATCTTCGTTCGGCCTCGAGAGGGCCATTGGCACGTTGAGTTGTAGTTTACAGCTAGGCTGCGATATCTGACCTAAACTCTTCAGTCGTCGGTAGTATAGTTGTAATTATGTCATCCTTCACTCGGGTGACCGGTGTTCGTTTCCCTGCTGGGTGATAATTGTTCTTTTCCCCCTAAAAGGGTGGTTGGCACGTTGTGTTGTGGTTTACAGCTAGGCTGCGATATCTGCGCCTTTCGCCCAAAGACATCCAATTTCAGTTAAGTCCTAATTAGCCTCCCCGCGACGCTTCTCTGTCAAAAACTATTCGGCGATGACAGAAACTGTTACCTAAGATGGCTTACAGTCCAGTTTAGTTTGGGTGGACACGGATGCCAAGGTCAGTTAAAAGTCGTTCCCTCTGAGAGGGAGAGATTGCGGATGGGGGGTATTTTTCTCCGCTATTTGTGAGTATAGTGTACTTTTCACTGTGTGTTCCATCACTGGTTACGTGATAAAGTTTTTTTCCCTATGTCCGGGGCAAAATCAAACTAAATAGTCCGTGGCGACAGCATGTGGCACTAACTCCTCTTTTCTACACCGACCTACACAGACTGTAGTGACATTTGTTGTTGTTGTTGTTGTTGTGATGGTGGTGGTGGTTGTGGTTGAAGTAGTACTGGTACTGGATGGGTGATGTAGTAGCTGTTACACTGGCTACATTTACTTCTCTGTACAAGTTAATGCTACCTATTAAAGTCTGGGTGGACACGGATGCAAAGCTCAATTTAGTTACAATATTTCGTTACACAGTGACTTTTCCATCCTTCGGAGAGGGAGATATGATGGGGGGGAGGGGGAGTTGTGCCGGAGTTGTTAGCTGAGAGAGCTTAAAATATTATTTTAAAGTTCTCATTTCTTAAATATTTCTATTTTAATAATTTCGCCAGGTGATGATTTTTTGAATCCTTCAGAGAGGGAGATATGATGGGGGGGGGGGGGGGGGGGGGGTTTGTGCCGGAGTTGTTAGCTGAGAGAGCTTAAAATATTAATTTAAAGTTCTCATTTCCTAACTATTTCTTTTTTAATAATTTCGCCATGGATGGTTTTTCAGTCTTCGGAGAGGAAGATATGACTTCGCCAGGTGATGATTTTTCAATCTTTGGGAGACGGAGATATGATTGGGGGAGGGGTGGGGGGTTATGCCAGACACCGTTAGCTGAGAGAGCTTTTTTAATGTTCTCATTACTTAACTATTTCTATTTTAATAATTTCGCCAGGTGATGATTTTTCAATATTACGGAGAGGGAAATATGATTGGTGGAAGGGGGGGGGGTTTATGCAAAACACAGTTAGCTGAGAGAGCTTAAAATATTTTTTTAAAGTTCTTATTTTTTTAAACTATTTCTATTTTAATAATTTCGCAATGAATAATTTTTCAGTCCTTCGCAGAGGGAAATATGACTGTCGAGGGGAGAGGAGGGAGGTATGACAGACACTGTTAGCAGAGAGCTATTTTCTTTCCTCTCCATTTCACGATTCTGGGCCACAGCAACCCGTGGCCGGGCACAGCTAGTATACAATAAACAGACATGTACTGATATTAGGAGTGCCTAGTTGCTCATTTGTCTTAGTACACTTCTTTCTGCAGCAAGGTGCTGTCATCATTTGGAGATGTCAGGTTTGAGTTCCTTCATGGACACTATAGCTTTTGATTTTTATGTTGTCTTGAGTTGAGCTGAGTTGAGTCAAGAATTGACATCACAGCCCTCGGGGCATTCCTATGTGTGCTCCGTCCTCATCTTCTTGTGTGTCCTTATATCATTCCATCTTTTTATGAATGCCGATTAACACACGTTTGTTTGTTTGTTTATTATATATAATATTTCTGCGGCCCCAAGGGTTCCCTGCCTATTTATTTCTGTATGATACATTCAATAAAAAAAATTTGATAAATAAATATACTGCTGTTTGAAGAGGCATATACAATGGTTGTCAACAGGAGTCAGCCATGGAGACTGGTATTTTGAGGTGCACATTGATGATATGCCAAATGATAGTGCGTCACGCATAGGCTGGTCTCTATCACTGGGTATGTATCTGTGTGCATATATTTTTATTTTGAATTAAGCAGCTTCTACGTGTCTGTTAAAAATGAGTTTGGCCCAGTATAGTCCCGGGAAGTAAAGGCGGCTGGCGGGATGCTGACCACATCACCCATTTGTGCCGATTGGTCTATAAAAATATAGGTCTAGCCCTGTATGCCCTATACGTCTAAAGGAGTGGAAAAGGGACCTTTACTTTTTTCTTATTTTACTTATGTGTCTGTTCCAGGGGCGTTTTATTTAGGAAGTTCGGTTTGCAGCCGGAGCTACTGAGTTTAGTGCTCCTGGTGACACTATGAGCTGTGATTATCAGTTATTGACTGAGTTCCAGATTCATACATAATCGCAATGATGGGTGATGTATTTTTCTTCGTTGTGTTCCTGGGACAAGGCGTGTGCTATAGCTGCTATTTTTTTGCTGGCTGTGGCTGCAACTTGGCCGATGACATGTGGAGAATGGTCAGGAATAGTTTTAATCTACTCATCGTCCAGCTATTCATTAAATGAATTGATTTTCAGCAGTGACGCCTGGTCTCGCAGTGTGTTTAAGGAGGCATGCACCTTATGGTTTGCTAGATCCAGTCGTGTGTGTTTTGCTGACTGAGGACACTTTGTATGGCTACAGCATTCACTTGAAGTATCCATCGTATCTGACTCAGTTTGTGACTGGAATCACTGGCATAGGCGGTTGAGCAATTATGGGCCAAGCTCATTTGCTGTGATGCCGGAACCGTAACAAATAACTAGCTAAGAAATAAGCCTATGTAAAATGGAAAGTTAAGTTCTGGAACAAGACTACAGTCGAAAAGTGGACGACAAACCATACCTTTGGGCTGTAGTTGACAGTGGACACTAAGAAGAAGAATTAAGCAACGAGGCTTTGATGTAAAGCTTTTTTCCTGATTTGTTACAAATAAAGTAAAGGTCCCTTTTCCACGCCTTTAGGCGTATGGGGCATATAGTGTTAGACCTATATTTGTATAGACCAATCGGCCGCCTTTACTTCCTGGGACTGCAGCCGGTACCCACTCAAGGCTGGGTTGACCTGGGAGTCAAGGTCATTTTTTAAAAAAAAGTCCGGCTCTGCCAGGGAGCGAAGCCACAACCTTCCAGTCCACACGCGAGCATCTAGCCGCTACCCCAAGGCAACTCTTTTGATTTGTTACAAATAGGAGTGAGAAAAGAAATTTGCTCAGCTAGCACCTAATGAGGCTACAGCCTGCACCATTAGTATTGAACTCTGTTCTGGCTGGTGAAGATGGGACAAAGTGTTTATGGGAATGCCCTTAGTGATGTCATATTGACTCTGAACTCTTGTCACTTTTAACTCACCATGATCACACTTTATGCGATCTGCCAGAACTTTCTATCGGAGTTACAGCCAGTGAATGTGAAGAAGGAGAAGAAGATGAAGAAGACTGCTTATTACAGATTAGTACATTTTTTAAAATTAACTCCGACACAGGAAATCTTCAAGCTCCTTGTGGCTATGACAAATTCAGCTACTCTTGGCGGTCTCGGAAGGGCACAGCTTTCCACCAGTCCCGCGGGCACCACTACCACAATGGTGGATACAAGGAAGGCGATTTTCTGGGCTTTTACATTAGTCTTCCGAAGCCTGCCGATCGCAGTCTGCTGCTTCCTCAAACTTACAAGGATCGGGTGAGTGTGTTTGTTGTTTTTATCGTAGTTGTTGTAGATCGTTTGAGGGTGCTTCAAATGAAGTGTAGCAAGGACTGATTTCAAGATGTGCAGCTTTGTCACTCACTCGGTTGGAGGTTTTCCTGTGTGAGACCTTCACTGGCTGCAGTTGACTCGGAGAAAGGAGGGGGGGGGGGGGGGGGGCGTCCACCACTAGGCATGACCCACTTGTGAACAGTCTGTCACAGAAGTCATACTATTTTGAAACTTCCAGCTCAGACTTGCTGGACTGGGAGGCATGCATCCTTGAACTGGTCTTTCATTCGCTGTTGAATTTCTGTAGGTCCCCCCCATCTTTTCACTGATTAAACAAAATACACAATAGAACACTGTTTCTCTTTGATGCATGTCAGAAGTGGGGCAGCCACTTTTAACCTGTCATTATGATGTCACAGTGGTCATCTGCACCATGATGTCACATGCCTGACACTGTTGACATTGTTAACAACAATATTGGCAGGCTACAAGACAGTAGCTTGGTTATTGAATGGTCTATCACACTTGTAAAGTTCTCATTTGAAAATATCTTATAGTGTCCCAAAGTGGATGATAACATTTCTCATACTGAGCCAGAAGTGTGTTAGTACCAGTAGAATGATTTGATTTATTTGTATGCAGACTGTTGGTTCCTCGCCTCTCAGGCAGACATGCTCTGACTTTGAAGGAAACATCCCTAAATAGTCAACTCTTTCGCCTCATTATGGGGCATTAGTTCTGTTGTTTTTGTTGTTGTTTGTTCTCCCCCACAATGGGGCCTCAGAACCCACACAGGGAAGAGTGTCCTTGGTATTCCATGTTTACCCCCCTAATGGTCAACCCCTGACCCATCTTGCAGGAACCATACCTACATTCTCTCTTAACCATTATGGCAGGTAATATGGCCAGAGTATTTAAGTGTCCAGGAAAGAATACTGTCTGTGTCATCCTTACCCACACTGGACTACTGGTGTAGCCGTTATGGATGCCCTGATTGTAATTCCTTAGTCTTCTCAAGGTTTCATCTTCACTGCAGTCGGGTTTCCCCGTACTTGCTCCATTCCTCGGGACAGTGAAAATCCCATGAAATGTCCCTCACTGTCACATTTTAAAAAAAAAACGGGTCAACAAACGATTAGTCCCTTAACAGTCCATAATTATGCGTATTAAATGTATATTTCAGTTGCTAGAGGCGCTAACAATCCCCCTCAGAAATGCAGTTTGTCATTGATGGAAGTAGTCGGGCAATACACACATAGAATTATTACAAAAGGTATTTCGCCAGCCCTTACATAAACCGGCTACTGGCTAAATTTAATACCACGTCACAACCGCTGCACACATGAAAGACATTCCCCACTAAAAAAAAAAGAAACAGCTCACAGGGCTGCACCAAGCTCTAAACTAAGTAGCTCAGCGAAACAGTAGACTACCATTCAGATGTAGAAACTGCACTAGCAAAGCGCTGTCAGAAACAAAAAAAACTTCTAAGCTTAACATTCTGCAATGCTTAATCCTCCATTTTAGGCCATTTTATTATAACTACTTTGGAGGTTCAGTGGGGCTAGTGGGATCTGCCTTGTTGGTGTGCCATCCAGGTTGAGATTTTGTAGTCTGAGGATGGTATGATCAGCTTTAGATAGCAGGAGTCCACAGACTGATCGACCAATCAGTACTGTATTTGAGATGCCCCCCTCACACCCCCCCCCCTTCCCATTTAAAACCACATAATGTTTTGTTTGTTTTATGTTTGTTAAAATACAAGAACAGAAATAACAGAATAGGGCTCCACTAATATTGGTGTCAAATAAAAAGTTTAATCTTGTACTGTACAAAATATTTTTGTGAAACACACAGTAAAGCACTTTAGGTTATGGTAAATAAAAAAAAAAAAAAATTTGAGCAAAAGCCAATTTATATGCATAGAAACAAATTATGATATTGTTAGTATAATCTTGTTTTCAAGTCTCATTCAACATTTGTTTGAGCGGCTGACAGGTCTTTCAGGTTTTTGTGTCATTTCTCTGTCAGCATTATGTTAAACTTTTTTTTTTACCCCATCACCGGCACATAATCTTCTTCTTTCTTCTTTGCATTAACTGGCTGTAAATTCCAGCAAAAGGTTCTGGTTGTTCATCCCCTTCTGGATTTTAGTCTTGTTCCGGAATTCTAGTTTTGCTTATACACCCATTTTACATATCTGACTCATTTATGAAAAGACTGTTTGTTCCCCGCCTCTTTGGAAGACACACTTTGGCTGTGAAGGAAACACCCCTAAGTAATTAGTCGCCTTTTACAACATGCTTTTGTGGGTCTGTTTCTTTTTCCTCCTAAAATGGGGCCCTGGAACTCACACAGGGACAATCATGTGATAAGAAGTGAGGTTAGTGTGTGACATATGGGAAGAGCACCTATATTTTTGCAGGCCAATGTTTCAACTCATAGGTTGGGTTATATTAGGAACCCGGTAACATGTCATGGTGGGTCTTTAAAAAAAAAAACTGCATCCCACATTAAGACGCAGGCTTTTTAAAAAAAACTAGAATGTGAATTTCAAGGCAATGAATAAGAAAACAAACAGCTAATGAATAAACATTCATCAGTGGCAGCAAATATGATTCAAACTAAGGGTGATAGTGAAGCTCAAAATGGGCAGATGTTGCCTCAGATGAGATAATCATCTCTGTAGTTGATGATGCCATGTGGAAATATTCAACCAGTTTTTTTGCCAGGGATACAGACGAGTATCATTTATTTTGTACATTAGAGTCCTATGTAGTCACTTCATAGTTAGAGCATATTTGTGTATGTGTACTGTGTTGTTCTTTATGTGCTGGTGAAGGCTAATCGACGCAATGTCCTTTGTTTGTTTAATGTGATCGATTTTGTAAAGCTAACATTAACTACTTGTTCTTTCTCACCCCCTTTTTCTCTTCCCTATAATTTCCTATCCTTTTAAAAACTTGTCGTGCAGTACAGCAGTTTTTGTTTTCCTCCTTTGGTCTCCCTCTGCCTTTCTTTCCCTCTGATTTTCCCATTGATGTGACATAATCAAATGTTTCCATTATCACCCTCTGCCCCTCTCTCCCTCCAGTTTTGCTGATGTCATGAAGTACTCTAGTTTTTCTCTTGGTCTCCCTCAGCCTCCCTTCTATTGTCATGAAGTACTCTAGTTTTCCCCTTGGTCTCCCTCAGCCTCCCTTCTCATTGTCATGAAGTACTCTAGTTTTCCCTCTTGGTCTCCCTCAGCCTCCCTTCCCATTGTCATGAAGTACTCTAGTTTTCCCCTTGGTCTCCCTCAGCCTCCCTTCTCATTGTCATGAAGTACTCTAGTTTTCCCCTTGGTCTCCCTCAGCCTCCCTTCCCATTGTCATGAAGTACTCTAGTTTTCCCCTTGGTCTCCCTCAGCCTCCCTTCCCATTGTCATGAAGTACTCTAGTTTTTTTCTTGGTCTCCCTCAGCCTCCCTTCCCCTCCAGTTTTGCCATTGTCATGAAGTACTTTCCCCTTGGTCTCCCTCAGCCTACCTTCTCATTGTCATGAAGTACTCTAGTTTTCCCCTTGGTCACCCTCAGTCTCTCTTCCCCTCCAACTTTCCCATTGTCATGAAGTACTCAGTTGTCCCCTTCTCACGACTGGTTATTTGTCATCTTTACCAGGTATAAAACATTGTCTGTTAATTACATCAGTGTCACACAATTAGTAGCTTGTTAGTTCACCGGCAATTTACAGCAAACATGAAAAATAAAAAACTCTTTGAGTCCCAAGGACTACCACTTTGGCCTCTGATGCTTAACACCCCCCCCCCCCCCCCCCCCCCGGGGACTCAAAGATTTAAGTGGACCCATTTTCTTTCCTTGCATTGTGATGGTTATATGGTGCCATAATGGTTAAAGATTATGTGATGTGCGCATGTACCAGTGAAAACATAAATTATTCCAGAAAATGGAAATTGATTGGTCCTAGTCATAGTTCAATTTATAGGACGAACTGCCAGGTTCTTCAACCCTTTTTTTTTTTTAAAAACACTCAAAGACTAGCAGAACAGTGGAAATTCTTGCACAGGGCACCTAACAGCTTGAGTTAAGTTGAGTCAAGAATTGACATCATAGCACTCTGGGCATTCCCATGCATTGTCCGTCCTCATCTTCAGCAGCTAGCGCAGAGTTCCAATACTGATGGTACTGGTCACAATCTGGTTATTTGTGTGTCTTGCCTTTCCTCTGAGTGTAGTGAGCCGGCCAGACTCTCTGGTTACCTAACAGCTTAACCCTCCCTAGTGTATATTGTGGTCTGTTTATTAAATCCAAAGTCACAGAATTGCAGTTTTCAGCTAATGTGACACCTGCTGCTGCCTAGAGGTTAGAATATCTGATATGTGTGACTGATGCATTATTTATGATTGATGAAGCTCCTCCCCATTAACATCCATTCGGTTTCTTTGTCTATTACTGTCATGGTTGAGAAAGTCTTTTCACACAAATAGGAAGTAGAACAATCTACCAACAGTGTACCAGTACATGATTAGGCAGAAATATTTGGTGAAGCAATAAGAGATTTCTGATAAAGAATCTCTCAGTTAACATCAGTTTGATTTCTTTCTTTCTTCCTTTTTTATTGAAACTACTGTCATGGCTGAGAATGGCTTTTCACACAAAATAAGAAGTAGAAAAATCTACCAACAGTGTACCAGTACATGGTTAGGCAGAAATATTTGGGGAACCAACAAGACATTTCTGATAAGGAAGGTCTTATTTAACATCAATTTGATTTATTTCTTTCTTCCTTTTTTTATTGAAACTACTGTCATGGCTGAGAATGGCTTTTCACACAATAAGAAATAGAAAAATCTACCAACAGTGTACCAGTACATGGTTAGGCAGAAATATTTGGCAAACGAACAAAACATTTCTGATAAAGAAGCCCTCAATTAACATCCATTTGAATTCTATCTTTCTCTGTCTCTTATTTGAGAAAGTCTTTTCA